TGTCGTTTCAGTACGCACTAAAGAATTAAGTGCTCTTACTCAAAAAAATCAAAATTATTTATTCATACAGGTAACACTATGTACACTTATGGACGTCAAAAAATAAATATGCTTGATTGAATTGATTGAAAATAGAAATGCTTCTAATTTTTCATTTACTGCCAGTTCTCAAATCAAGGGCGTAGGACGGAAGAGAAGAAGTGGCAATAAACTCTCCGCCACTCCTTTTAATCGCCCCTTTATCATATTTCTCATCAAATGACTGTATTTGTTTTGTTAAATGTTAAATGTTTGTTCATCATAGGTTAGTAAAGGACCAGCTTTCTTTGCCATACGAAATTTGGGTCTAAGGTTAAGGGGCAAACAGGAGGCTCATCTGATGTTAAGTGATACCGCCGCCTATGGACACTCAATGCCAGAGGGCTCGCGAGTGCGTTGCCGGCCTTTTCAGAATTGGTACGCTCTTTTCTTGAAGGACCCAAAGTCGAATTGGTTAAGGCTAAGTATGTCAAATTGAATCGATGTCTGGATTACGAGACTTATACTACTTTGAACTTTACTTTTAGATGCCGATTTCAAGCAAATTAAATTTACGCACATATTATTATAAAGAAAGCAGCAGAGTTGCAGAGCAGTGTTGGCCTAGTGGCTTCAGCGTGCGACCCATCCCTGAGGTCGTAGGTTCGATCCCCGGCTGTGCACCAATGGACTTTCTTTCTATGTGCGCATTTAACATTCGCTCGAACGGGGAAGGAAAACATCGTGAGGAATCCGACATGTCTTAGACCCAAAAAAAAGTCGACGGCGTGTGTCAGGAACTGGAGGCTGATCACCTGCCTTCTAAAAATGATCATAAAACAGATTCAAAAATCTGAGGCCCAGACCTAAAGTAAAACCTATAATAATAATAAAAAATAAAAAAATTTTTTTTATTATTATTATAAAGAAAGAGTCGCACAAAAAACCACAAAGCTTCCAGAGTAAATTGATAATTTGATATTAACAGGATATTAGGAAGTTTGAATTGGCAACCCGCTGTGCCATATCGGCTGTTTCCCAGTCTGCCAAATTACGGAATAATCCCTCGAGTGTCAGCATTCTGGCTTCGAAGCCTGATTTACCACGTACAGGCCACTCTGTGACACAGTAACTTATGTAATGGCTTGTGAAATTTCAGTTCCTGTGGTTTTAGTGATGCTTAAACGTTTTTTTAAGAATGTAGGGATTGTGTGGAATCTAGTAACTCTTTGGAATAGACGATCCATTTTTTCTTAAGGTAAATAAGTAGAAACTTGTGTATCATACCGTATATATTACATTATGATGATTAACTTTATTTTTTATTATAAAAATAAATTAATAATTAATTAACACGCTAATATTACGATGTTAGACGGTATTTTATTTAATAATTGCACACCCTGATACTTAATAGATTTCTTCAAATAATGTGTACGCGGCTTCGCCAAGTTAAGCTACCTCGTTGAACGAGTATTGCGTGTAGTGGTGTATTTCATGTGTTTAAATGGTAAGCTACTGTAGAGAGAGTTATTAAGTTTTTTTAAATTTTACTAAGAAACATTTTAAAAATAGAAAACAATTATTAGCTATAAGTTATAATTTTCATTACATTTACACTAAAACTAAGAATAAGAGGAAAATCACACATTACATTTACACAATTTATAAAAATATTCAGCGTTAGAATCTACATTGCCCCAGTGTAACATAGGCCATATTCGCTTTCAAAACGAAATTATCAGCCATTCGAAGCTTATAAAACTGCATTTTTTATTGAAATCTTTTTTTTGATTCGAAACAATGGCTGCTTGAAGACAATCGCAAAAAGGGACAGCCCCGCAGTCTCAACGCAATGTTAAGTACAGTAAAATCTCTTTATTCGCGGGGTATACGTTCCATAAATATGCCGCGAATACAGAAACCGTGAATACAGAATGGTAATTTATATGGGTTTATAGGGGATACGTTCCTAGGTGCCAAAATGAAAAACACAAATATATAAGAAAATCAATTTTATTGATGTTATTGAACATTTTGATTATGTAATCATGATCCTCATGCTTAGGCAATGGTTTGAAGAATTTTGTTATTTTCTCTTGCTTGGCAGTTTTTAATAGCTCCTTCAATTCTGACTGATACTCAGCAGTCGCATTAGAAATTTGCCTCATAAAATTAAGACTTCGTTCCATAGATGGATCAATGTTCATAAAGAAATCGTAAAGCTCATTTGCCATTCTTAAACCTTCACTATGATTATTCAGAGTAAATGTTTGAACTTGCATGGATTCTTCGTCATTTTCCGCAGTCAGAGCAGGCCATAGTTTTTTTCCAGTATGACTTCAATGTGTGTGGTTTCAGTTCGTTCAATGATTCTTTTATGTTTACGATGCATTTTGCTATGTCAAATTTCTTCCAGCATTCCATAACATTCATATCAGGATTACACTCCATATTATCTATATGATATTACGTTAAACACCAGTTTGCATGAAATATTAGATCCGCGAATAAGGAATTTTTTGCCGCGAATAAAGAAATTGGGTTGCATTTTTTTAATCCGCGAATAGTGAAAACGCGAATAAAGGAAGCGCGAATAGGGAGCTTTTACTGTATACATATATATTAGAAAGGAAGGAGCGTAAATTATTGTACTTTACAATTTTGTAAGTAAAAAAAGCGATTTCTTTCTTATAATCTCATTTCTAACTAATGTTGTTTGGTTTATATGTTTACCTACCAAAAAATTTTAAGGAATTTATAGTTTTATTATTTTTTAGTGTGAGTGCTTTAAAGTTGTAGGGAGCGATTGCCACATTGAGCTATATAATCTAATATATAAAATTCTCGTGTCGCGGTGTTTGTAGTTAAACTCCTCTGAAACGGCTTGACCGATTCTCATGAAATTTTGTGTGCATATTGGGTATGTCTGAGAATCATGACAGAATGACAACATCTGTTTTTCATCCCCCTAAATGTTAAGGGTAGTCCACCCCTAAATGATTTTTTTGTAATTTTTAGATTATTTTTTGTGGTACATTAAAAAATGCATTAAAAATACATACAACCCCTAATTTTCACCCCTCTACGATCAACCCCTATTTTTTTATTATAAATGATATAGATGGCAAAACGACGTTTTTTATATCTATTTATGCAATGTTACCGGCCCATTACCATTTTGCTTTGTAGTGTCAATGCGTTTTTTATTATTGTAACTCGGGTTATTTTCATCACTCGGTCCTTCAATCTAAGAATAGAACGCATAGCCGTATGCAGAACTTATATTATTGAGAACTTATTACCATTGTTATTATGACTAAAGGTCTCCAAACGTAAATGTAATCAATTCGCGTGTAAAGTATTGTAATATTATCTATAATATATTATTTTTTATATTTATCGAACTGTAACAACAACTTTATATGATAAATTCACATGCTCACAACATTTGAATTTTATTTTTGCATAGATAATATGAAAAAATGAGAGAGCAGTGTTGGCCTAGTGGCTCCAGCGTGCGTCTCTCATACCTGAGGTCGTAGGTTCGATCCCCGGCTGTGCACCAATGGATTTTCTTTCTATGTGCGCATTTAACATTCGCTCGAACGGTGAAGGTAAACATCGTGAGGAAACCGACATGTCAGTAAGACCCAAAAAAAAGTCGACGGCGTGTGTCGGGCACTGGAGGCTGATCACCTACTTGCCTATTAGATTTAAAAATGATCATGAGACAGATTCAGAAATCTGAGGCCCAGACCTAAAGAGGTTGTAGCGCCAAAGATTATTATTATTATTAATATGTAAAAATAATGTATTCTTGGCTATTCCATCCAAATTAAATAAGATTTTTTTATCACAAAGTTTTTAACTTCGTAGAAGCGAAAAATTAAGTTAAAAATAATAAAATACTTAGAAAATTTTTAATGGTTCATCTCAACTTTTCTATCTGGCATAAGTCTCACTCAATTCGATCATCCATAAATTTTCTGAATTATTATCATAAAAATTGTGTTCTCTTGTTAGGAGTTATAACGTCTAGTGAGTATAGACAGAATAAATACTTAAATGAATAAGCAGTAACTCGCGTACGATTTGCGTATATTTTTTTTACAGAGCCATGCGTTCAGGTAAATCTGTGGCCGAGAAGTACGCAGGGGAAAATGTTCCTAAAAGGGGACTTTATATACCGGTATTATCAGTCGACAGCTATTTCGGATATCCTTATGATATTTATATGCGAGTTTCGCCGATGGCCTTCGGGACCCGCGTCACCACTTGTGCTATTCATCTTACAGACATATTTGTCTATTTTGTGGCAGAATTTTTCCAGCTGTTCTTCTGTACGTTTTCATACATACATATTGTTTTTGTAAATGTCTTAACGCTAAGCTGTTAATCACATTTTGAGTAAAATAGCCAAGAAATTCTCCAAGCTGAAGCCGTGCCTTTCAAATAGCGTTAGCATGTTTTATTATGCGCGCCATCTTTCCAGGTCAAAAATGCTGATTATTCAGTGAAAATATTATAAAGTTTCCCAGGAATCAGAGATTAAACAATGGATCTCATATGCTTCTTTGGATCATTCAATAAATAATCGGGCATTATAGAGATTTATTAACAATAATCTCCAAAAAATTGATAAAAGTTAGCGGTAATTAATGATTCATCAACCTTGAATTGTTCTTAGTTCCGATTTTGAAGTATTTGCCACATTTAAAAAAATATTTATTAGACATCTTATTACAAATTCTAATTTTGACGCTTGATAACAATAAAATCCTGCATCCTGTTAGTAAGCATAACGATAGTCAGTTTAAGTCCCTTGATTACTAAATGTCGAATGAATCATTGCCGGGAATTCACCCGAGCTCCTATAAAAAGGAAAATTTGTCTCTGTTATATTTATTGTGCCCTAGTAGTTCTGTACAACCAGTGCTTTGTTACAAAGAAACTTGTAAAGAAAAAAAAATATAATAAACATGTCACTTACGGGAAATGCTTCAGAAAACGCGGATAACACGAAAAATTATTCAATAACAGGTATAAAAGAAAATGGTAATAATACCATGACAGCTAATGCATTTGTGAATGGATACAGAGATACTCCAGACCCCACGAAATTGGGTGCCCCTCATTACTCTGTTGCTGGAGGAAGCCTAACTGTTGAATCGTAAGTACATCTTACCATATATTTTATTATTGCCCCGAATTATATCATCAGTTTTAAATTAAAATTATACCAAGGGATTTTTAATACCTGGAGGGGAAGTACTCCTGTCCTGTAACAAACAACTGTTATCGTAAATGAAGTCATAGCCACTTCGAAAACCAACGCAATTGCTCAAAATATTTATCAGGCGCTATTTTTTCCAGACGTGGTCATTCAGCAGGTGTAGCAGCTCAGCATATACCAAACTTTGGTGATAGAGTAACTGGTTCAGCAAATGTAAACCTTATTAATTCCGAGATACACAAATTGGATGCCCATGCTTTTAGCACCCAAACGATACCAAAGGCTCATCCGAATTTCGCCACCCATGGCGGAGGAGTCGATTATACTTATATGTAAGTTAATTAAACTTGTAATAATATGCCTTACTGTCATCGAGCGCGAAGGTTAAAAGGTGATTCAGAAAGAAGGATGATTAAAGATTACATCGAACGAGACATGTTCGTGCCTCAGTTTAGTTCAGAAAACGCGCACTGAACACATACAACGTTTTCACTCTTATGAGGAACTAGCTGCCCACTAAAATATTTCTGAACCAATTTGACTAACTGTTGTCCTTAACAAGAAAAGAGCGTACCAATTCTTAAAAGGCCGGCAACGCACTCGCGATCCTTCTGGCGTAATGATTGGGTGGTGATTTTTTAATTAATGACGCCTTTTTTTTAACACCACCCACAACTTTCTTTTCAATACTATTGCCATGACTATCAAACAGTTTATCACCTTCCCAGAACTTCATCAGTTTTGACAAAAATTATAAGTATTACCTGTCCTTATTTTATTATGACACATTAAATATAATGAATCAAACTGAATGAACCACTTTGATAACTACCCGTCGAACCGATCGAATTATCAGCAACGTTTGCGCGTATTTTTTCCTGCTTTGAAATTCTCTAAGATGTGAATCTCTAGGACTTACATAAAAAGATAATGCTTTGATCTCTTTCAGGAACAAACACGGTGCAAGTGCGTCTGTGACCCATACCCCGATGTTCAACAAGACAGATCACAATGTGGGAGCCCACTTTAACCTCCATCAAACACCTACTTCTTCCCTAGATTTCAATGTTGGGGCATCAAAGAGCAAATCTCCCTTTTCAAACGGTAATTGGGACAAACAGGGATCGTTTATATTCAGAAAACAGTTTTAATATAAAAAGTGTATTTAACACGTATACGTATAATTTGTGCTTATATTTATACCCATTAATTATACGAAGAAATTGTATAGAATTTTATGTTTCATGTATGACGATTACACACTTGATATATAACTTTTTTTATTTATAAATTCTAAAACAAAATGCTTATAATATACAAGAAAATATGGTGACCAATTTTACACACAACAATTAAATTATATACAAAAACGCAGGCAAACATGCCTGTGCATGTCCTTGCTAACTTGTACTGTTGTACAACCTAAAACTAAATGGAAAATTAAACCTCATATCATTAAGAGTGTAATAAACAAAAGTAAGTACCTAGGCAGAGTGTTGCTAAATATATTAAAAATAAAATGTAAGAGCGAGACTTATTCACAGGAGGATTAAAAGTAGCAGACAACCGAGTAATCGATAAAAAACTTATTACCAGTAACTAGGATTACAAAGAAAGGAAGATTTAGCAATTTTGTCAGAACGTGTATTAAAGTTATATATTCTATACAAACAACTAAGAAACCTTACACCTACGTATCCCCATCATGATCCCAGTATGTAATATGAACATTGAACATAGCAATAAATATAAATTGAACTTATGATTTATTTGCATGCAAATCATTTGACCTTTTTGCATGTGTCCAACATGTGTTTGTGCTAATGTGTTTGATCTTATAGAGTAGCGTGTCGGCGATTATAATATACTTTTAAAACTACAAAACGCCTCTGATTTCCTTCTAAATATAAAACCGATCATTATACTGGGTGGCGCAAAAGTACTGGCACTAAAGAAAATTTGTTTATTTTTGAAGTTATACTTGTTAGAAGAATTTGATGTAGTGGGGATAGAATGAGCATTCGCTCGTTTGATGTAAATCGACCTTTACGGAATAATTAATCAGTGATAAAAACACAACGTGTTTCAATTTCGTCGACGATTTCCTGCAAGATCACCCGATCTGACTTCTTTCTTTGGGATTTTTGAAATCTCGGGTGTATGTGAACAAGCCACAGACTCTCGCAGCCTTAAAAGAAAACATTCATCAAGAAATAAGGAACACACGCAGGAAGTATTACAGCAAGTTATGCAAAATGTCATAAATAGGGCCCAAATATGCATCAACTCTGGAGGTCACCATTTAAAAGACATCATCTTTAAATCCTAATGGTACGAAATTAAATGGCACAAATATACATTTAAAAAAACCTAAATCTAGTTTTCTAATTTAGAAAAAATGTTATAGCTAAACCAAATAGGGTCTTTACTTTTGCGCCACCCAGTATAAAACATGTACTAAAAACCGTCTATAACAGAAACTCAAACTCAAAATAACTTTATTCATATAGGTAATCAAGTAAAGTCATAAACTTCAACAGAAAAGATGTTAAATTGATTCTAAATTTACATAAACTACCAGTTCGCAAGTCAAGGGCGTAAAGCGGGCGAGAAGAACTGGCAAGAAACTCGTCTTTGTAATCGCCAAGTTTTGAGTCATACAAATTGTTTGAACTGGAGCAGATCAATCCCAATCATTTAAATAATCGTCAAATTTATAAAAAGCTTTATTGATTAATTTTTCGTTTAACAAGAGTTTTGAATTTAATCAGCGATAATTCTCTAATTTAGCTTGGGGGTTTGGTGTAAAAACGAATACAATTTCCATATAAGGAGTGGTTTATCTTCAGGTGCCTGGTCGTACGATTAGATTAGTTCTGTTTCGAGTATTATAGTGGTGAAATTTACCATTTGTTTTAAAATTGTGTATATTTTTTTGTACATGCAACATGGCTTCAAGAATATATTGACCAGATAGTGTCATAATATTAAATTTCTTTTATACACGATACAGCTGCAGCGGCGCGAGTTTTAGATGCTTCATGATTTAAGTTGATATCCTGAACATTTGATTACGAAACTTTGTAAAACATTCGCGAATGTTTTTTTTTTTGATCATCTTGATATGAAACGGATGAAGGAGCTAAACTTGAAAACAAAAAATGTAACGCGATTTGTGTGTGATGTAAAAGTTTTTTGTCTTTTGTTATTTAACATTCATCACGAATTAATTATTTCACTACATTTTACCAATGTGTGCTACACTTGATATAATAATTGACCGTATCCATTGCAAATAACTTGCAACTTCTTCATCAATACTTATCAATAAAACGATGGTCAAAAAACTCATTTGTAATGTATTTCTTATCTACTAATTACTAATTAACAATGTTTTATTTTGTTTCCACATAATAATATCTTAATTGTTACTACTAAAGTACTAATACATAATACACCGATAATTTTACAACTAAAATACATTTTAAAAAAAAGGGTGCGTGTAGGTACTTATGTACGCGCGTAAGTTATACTTCTTTGGCATTCTTTATTTTTTTAAATATTAAATAATTAATAATAAATATTTAACGTTAATAATTTAATAATATTTAATATTTAGTATATTATTCAATTATTAATTAATATTAATAATAATAATAATAATTATTTATATTATTTTATTCATTCAATTTAATAACTAGGTATGTTTCCATAACCTTTTAACTAAGTAACAATAGGTCTTTGTGAAAAAGCATTGCTAAATTTCTTTGCAAAAATAATTAAAACTCCTTTATTTTTTAAAAGGTACTACAAAGGTCATTATGGTCATTCAAAATTCTTGGCATAGCTGCTAACTTCACGCATATTCTATTTCTTTTTACTTGTAGATTGTCTTATTCCCATCTCACTCGCGCACGCTCGGCGCCCGGCTGGCTTAAAAAGAATTCGTTAGTGGGCAACTTCATTCTGTTAATTTTGTGTCACGGTGCGCGCGCATCGTAAAATTTCACTCTCATCAATTTTTCATAACGCGCCTAAAGAAGTATAACTTCAAAAATGTATGCGTCTCGTTCCGAGGATCTTCTTCTGCTTCATTACCTTTACCCTCCGATAAGAAGTTATCACTTCAAAAATACATATATGCCTAGATAACTAATAACATAACAATAATCTCTTGTGAACTCAGCCAGTGTAAAAACAAATATCTAGATCTATAGGAATCAAGGGTCTACATCGATAGAAATGTTATTTGATTACGTCATGTAGGTATAACCTAAACAAGTTGGTGTACGCGCAGTACATTCAAAAGTTGTGACTTCCGAGTTCCGCCTGACATACATTATTATTTAATAAAACACCAAACAGTACCTATTATACCTACAGTATAGACGCTATATGTCATAGTCATCTCAAAGCGTTATTTATCTAACAGTAGCTTATTATAATTTATGACAATCAACAATTAGTTTGCAGACCTTAAACTTCTGTTGAGCAAATAGATATAGAAGCAATTATTTAGTATTAAAACTACTTTAGCGTATGTTAATATAATGAAAATTTTGGCTTAAAAGGTTTTATTTATTGCAATTATACAATTACTACTTTGAATTGAATAATTTGAAAATATACTCTATTAGTTTGTAAAGATTAAGATTTTTATGTTTCTTTAAATTTTAATTTTGTCCTTTGACATACTAAATGCAAAGCTCTCAAGACCGCTGAACCAAATACAACTAATACAGAATATGAGAACCTATATGCCATCATTTTTCTCTATATTGTGTATACACTATGTTTATATACGATATTTAATAAAATATAAAAGATCTCAGTAGTATTGTGATTATGTAATTTAATTCAATAAAACATATAGTATACGAAAAAACTAAATTATATTTAAATGTATATATTTTAATTATTAAACGTAATTATACTAAGCAACTTTAACCTTCTTGGAAAATACAACTTTTCGCATACACAGATACAACGATCCTATCATAATACTAAAACTTATTACGATAATTATAAATAATTTAAGTATGAACTCTATTTCATAATATTGGACCCAGGACATATTTGCACCGGCCGCTCGGAGGTGTTTCGCTCCACCATGTCTTAAAACGTATTCCGTCCACCAAACTGCTCGGTCTAATGCACTCACAGGCTGATCAGCCATGATACTTCGAAGTCTTATAATGTTCTCTTTAAAACTGTAACAAAAGTATGAAAGTTAAACATTGAATATATTTGTATTTTATTGAAGTGATAACTTCTTATAAGAGGGTAAACCGTTTCGTTACGTAACGCGTTACGGCGCCAGTCTGCCTAGCTTCGGACCGATGCTTTCCCCTATCTCTACTCAGTGTTAGGTGTGCGTTAGACATTTACTGTTGACAGTGAGCATATAACCTCAAAATATCACCGTATTTGACAGTGATTATAAAAAATATGTTGAATGAAGCAGATGATGGCCTCGGAACATTACATAATTAAACAGCTCAATTTAGATTAGTTTATTACTTCTGTCGGGCGTCTCGAGATGCACACATATGGCCAAATTTCAACTAGGTACAAATATTATAACACTATTGAAAAATTAAGTGATAAAAAATTAAGTGAAATAAAATTACCAGAAAACATTTGCTAATAGATAGATAATAATAAGGATTTTTCTAAGATTAAATCCATACTAGTCTATAGTAGAGGATTCAGTGATACAATGCGATCATAACGAGGTAGATTAGGAAGTAACACTGTTGATCAGGAGTCTGATGTATCCATCTGGCCAGAAATATATAATTACTTCTTCCACAAAGAGGCAGCAAATAATCATTCAAGCTTAAATATCATTAATCGATTGCAGTTAAAACTGTTTAAAACTTTTGGTAAAGAAACCAAAATATTTAAACTGTGTCGGGACTTTCGGGATACATTTATAATCAATTTCTATAAAACTAGAGAATATTGTGGATATATTCAAATAAATTACCTTGGATCATTTATGACGGTTTTAATTGCTGCACTAAAAACACCTTCAGTTATTGTTTCCATATCAAGTCGAATACCGATTCTGTGTTTCTCATATTTCTCAACATTGTACCATTGATCTCCAAGCATAGGTATACCTATGAGCGGTACTCCAGCAGTTATTGCTTCATCTGTTGATTGGAGACCGCCTTGAGTGACGAATAGTTTAACATTTTTATGCCCTAAAAATGTAAATGATTAATACAATGTACACATGTTATACAATACATGCAAACTTATCTAATGCTGTGTGTAAATGCAATTTTAAAGATTTAAACTAGGTAATATAAAAATGCCAGCGTTGAAGGTACACCGCCACAGGGACCAAACTTTTTTATTTTATTTTTATTAATTTCTAATTATTTATATTATTACTATGTAGGTTAAGAAAATTGTAAATACTATATATTTGATTGTTATGATTACTAATAAATAAACCTTCTATATATAAAAATATTTTTTTTTACGAAAATCCCTTTATCGTTAACACTTGCTAAACTATGTCATCTTTGAACATAATGTAAACAAATAACGTGTAAAATTGCAATAGAAAAAGAGATCCCTCCGACTTTCACGAAAATATACTGACTCAGTAGGTCTGATTGTGGAAGCCATTTAGATATTTTAATATTAGTCGATTTTCCTGGCATTTCATCTGCTTCCCACTTCCACAGAACATCATAGGGAAGTCTGGAAAACACTCTGATTAATGTTTGTATAAACTCTTGTGGTAAAGTTGTCGAAGGAGCATTAGTTCCAAAGCTAATATAAATCACGCCATGTTTCGAAGAGTCCAGATATGTCTCAAGATCCTTAAAAAAACGATTTCTATATTAATATTTATTAAAATTTAAAATATTGTTAACATCAGTGCAATAACATCTTATCTCTGAATTTGCATGTTTTATCATGTAATCATTGTCACAAAGGTTAAATTCAATAGGTAATTTAGGTATATCATTTATGTGATATTTTAATGACATCACTTTTTTAACACTTTTGATATTGAATTTGATTCCTACAATGATAACGTTAAGATCAATCCTGAATTCTAGGATATACCTTAGTTATCCAGTGACGGAAAATAACCTTATCTATTTTAAGTGAGGGGTAATAGTATCAGAACTTGCTTTACTTACTTTTGGCAATGGTTTCTCAGGCTTTTTGTGAATACCCCAAATCGATATAACATTTGGTGGCAAAGGTTGATTTTCAATCCACATAGTGTGAATATTCAGAAATAACATATCAACATTATTTTTCAATTCACAATAGTTAGGCAAATCCGGACCCAGAACTTCTCTAAAAGTATTAATTTCTTCATTTTCTTTCTCAAGCCATAACATTTTAAACCACCAATGTTTGTAGAATTCGTCTAGTTTCTCCCAAAACGTTAGATTATATAATCTCTGCTGAAGTGCTAAAGGATATAAAATCGGATGCGATTGAGTTCCAAGAGTCTCATCATTTCCCATCATCATTCCAAAGGAGCTTATTAATATCACTGGCACCTTAAATATATAGGAGTATACTAAAGTCTGCCTCGTCCACGCTTCTACCAAAAGAATATCAAATTGCGAAGGAACCTTTATCAATTCTTGAATTTTTTCATGTTTCAAGTGAATCACAGTTAGTTTACGTATTATATTCACAGCTGCCTCAATCTGAGGAAATAGAGTCTTTTTTTGTCCAAACTCTACCTTATACACAAAGTTGTCTCTCCATAATTTATACGAAATATCATGAACATCTATTTCCGTTAAATTTGTAGGTGTTCCATTTTTAAAAACTGGGTCCGCCGTCACTACCGTAACCTGATGGCCACGCCTGGCTAGCTCCTGTGTAAGGGGCCGAAATACAACCTGGTGGCTCACAGATGGCGTCGGGAAAATAGCTAATATTTTTGCCGATTCACATACTGTTAATATACACAAAGAAAAAACAAGGAGTGGACTGAACATTATGACAGTTTTATTTAAAATGAAATTGAAATAATATCTTCTATCGAGTCACAACAAGTACCTATATATGTATACTTGTATTTGCCAACTATAATTTATGATGACTCTCAGTTAATAATAAATAATAACAGAGATCAAGCAATGAAATTCAGCGATATTAATGACACAAAATTACTTCCTTGTTATAATTTTAAACGTCAGATATATGACAAAGCAAAAATATAACTCGTTTTTCCGCTTATGATGTTTTTCCGCCGGATTATGAAGAATTTAAAATAAAAATTCCAAAAACGTTTTTTTTATACTATCTCATATATTCGCCTTTGATTGAAAATATACATTAAGAAAATATTAATTGTACATTCGGTTAATTATTATTAGTGGTTATAACATATATTTTCGTTAAAACGTGCTCAGGCGAGCAACCCAATATACCCATCTATAAAGAAATTGCAACGATTTCTAAAAATTAATAATGTCATCAAACATTTTAAAGATATAACCTAAAAATAACTCAAAATAAAAAAAACATTTATCCAATAGACAATAAAACGTTACAAAACTAAATTTGTTTTTTATCTTTTGTAATCTTGACTTTTTGTGAATACATAAAACATCGCAGACGTCTATACACAAGATGGCTTATTATTATTAATACTACTATAGTCGTGAAGATAAGCATAAGAAGCTTAAGGATAAATTCCACTTCATAGAACTCAAACCAGGTCAAATTAGCACTCGCGGCTCGAAGGTGCTTTGCACCACCGTGTCGCAGCACGTATTCGGTCCACCATACCGCGCGATCTAATGCAGTCTGTGGTTGATCATTCAAAATATTTCGAAGTTTTCTTTTTAGCTGAAAATAGGAGAAAACTGTTTGAAACCTCACCCAAAAGGCACAAAACCTTGTCAAGATTTAAAACGCGTTAATTGTGGAGATAGCATGCTCAGATAGAATTCTTAGCTACGACTAATTAAATATAATAATAACAATTATATATATGCAAAAATAGCTTTATAGAAGTTTCACAGAACACGTAAATAAAGAAGTCGATAAAAAGTGAGATTTTGTAAACTATTAAATTTTTATCAAACCTTAAATTAAAGCATGCAATCATCATACGATTATGATAGCAATAATACTAAAATTAAAAGTGAAAAAAAAAATGTAAGGGTGCGTCCACATCTGGCAAATGTGCAGATCACGAGCCGTTTGCGAGCTGCGCGAGTGCATTTTTGTTCGTGCGGCGCTCCTGTGCCGCCCGCGCGCAGTTCGCTCGCAACCTAAGCGCCGTAAGCGATTAGCGCGCGGGCGGTGTGCTAGCGGCTCGCGTCTTCCTTCCGCCCACGCCTCCAATCCCCGCACCCCTAACTTACCCGCTCATTCGTGGCATATTCGCCAGATGTGGACGCACCCTAATGTCGCACAGGCATACGTTTAACAAATAACTTAAATAGTAATATCTTTCATCACTGATAACTGTTTCGATCGCCTTTAATAGTTTTTCTCTCGTTATTGCTTCTATGTCGAGACCAATCCCAATTTTGAGATGTTCGTAAAACTCCACATTGTACCATTGATCACCCATCATCGGTATCCCTATGAGTGGTACCCCAGAGTTGATAGCTTCATCGGTAGACTGTAGACCTCCTTGAGTGATAAATAGCTTTAAATTTGGATGACCTGTAATTAAAAATAATTATGTTCCAAACGATTTCTATTTATTTTAATATTTACTATTAAAAAATATATCGAGCTAATGTTATATATATTTGAGGCGAAAATATTATCGAAGGTATGTTTTAATATCGTTTACTTAGTGCGTTGTCTCGAATCAGAATCTTAGAAAAGCCGAGTTCCGCAAATAGTCCATTAAGACAGGTCCTTAGGAACTCCGCACATTTGGAAATTTTGACAAGACGAAACCTTTACCACAATAAATATTTCTATTGAGTTTTATTTCTGCTGTTAAAAAATAAAATAAAAATAAAATATGTTTATTATGGAACATAAGATACATGTATCACTTATTCCACGTCATTAAATTTGAAGGCATCCCTACTCATCGGCAAAGAAGACAGAGGGTGTAGGCCGAGAGAAAAAGCCGGCGTAAAAAACTCTCGGTACTCTTTTAAAACAGCAAATCATCAAACAACACTTATTTAAAACAAATATCGCAAATTGATTAGAAGTAGCCTGTCTAGCACTAGTCCCAGGCCCTTTTATCAACTAGATAATCGTTGACTTTATAGTAAGCCTTTTTACACAGCTTTTCTTTAATACATTTCTTAAATTTATTGAAAGGCAGTGATAAAAGAGCCTCTGGGATTTTATTAAAGAAGAGTATCCCTTTCCCCAAAAAAGAATTACTAACTTTAGATAGTCTAGTACGGGGAAATTGCAGCCTGCGTTTGTTCCGTGTATTAACATTGTGCGTATGTTCTATTCTAGTAAACTTATCACTATTTTTGTATACATACATAATATTTTCATAAATATATTGCGAGGGAAAGGTAAGTATATTAATTTCCTTGAATTTATCTCTAAGAGATTCCCTACATTTTAAATTATAGATTGCACGAATAGCCCTCTTCTGCAGGATGAAAATAGTTTCGACATCAGCAGCATGACCCCATAATAATAAGCCATAAGTCATTAAGCTATGAAAGTAACTAAAATAAACAAGTCTAGCTGTATCGACATCAGTTAGTGAGCGAATTTTTTTAACCGCGTAGGCTGCAGAACTAAGTCTCTTCGCCAATCCGTTAATATGAGGGGACCACTGAAGTTTTGAATCCATGGTGATTCCGAGAAATACAGTTGTATCATCCAGATTCAATTCCTCACCGTTTATAATTGGTCTAGTATCCATAACCCTTGCATTTTTTGCACAAAATTTAATGCATTTTGTCTTTTTGCATTAAGTAGAAGGTTATTCATACTAAACCAATGGACAATCGAAGACAGAGCATTGTTCACATCGTCAAAATTTGTTATTTGTCGTTTGATTTTAAAAATCAAGGACGTGTCATCAGCAAACAAAACTATCTGATGTTTTCTCTCTACCATGAAAGGTAGATCATTTATATAAACAAGAAAGAGGAAAGGGCCAAGAATTGAGCCCTGTGGTACCCCCATATCTACTGCCGACCCAGAGGACCTCTTACCATTCACTTCAACCTTCTGAGTTCTTCCGTGTAAATAGGAAGTCAGAAGATTCAGTGCGGTATTCTTGATGCCATAGTGGCGGAGTTTCCCGATTAAGGTCTCGTGTTGGACACAATCAAATGCTTTGGATAAGTCGCAGAAAACACCTAAAGCGTCATGCGACTCCTCCCAAGCCTTAACTATATATCTATATAACTCAACACCGGCATCGGCTGTCGAGCGACCCTTGGTAAAACCGAACTGATTATTATGTAATAATTTGTTTACGTTAAAATGACTTACCAGTTGATTTAATATAATTTTTTCAAATATTTTACTACAAGTAGGTAGTACGGAAATTGGTCTAAAGTTACTGGGGTCGGACATACTACCTGCTTTAAATAAAGGAATAACTTTACTATGTTTCATTAGATCGGGAAACTCGCCACTTTTAATACAATTGTTGAAAATTATAGCTAGATGGGGAGCAATTACATCAATTATGCTACTAATTATTTTTACAGAAATACCCCAAAGATCGGTAGTGTTCTTAATATCTATGGTTCTAAATATCCTCACTATATCGTCGGCACCAATGGGTCGGAATGAAAAACTGACCTTGCACTCGTTTACATTATCTTTGAGCAGCGATTCGGCGAGGGCGGGAGATGATTGAAGAGACTTAGTAGTCGAAATTGGAATGTCAGAAAAGTACTTATCAAAAACAATCGCTATCTCTTCGTTAGATTTGATTATAGTGTTATCGACACATAGTTCGATGTCTTGATTGCGATCCCTGACTCTTCCAGTTTCACTATCAATTATCTTCCAAGTCATTTTAGTTTTATTGGTACTATTTTTAATCTTGTTTTTGATATTTAAGGACTTGGCCGCGTAACAAACTTTCTTAAATAATTTCGAATAATTTCGAACATAAAGAATAAATTCTTCATTATGATTGTATGACTTTTCAGCGTAAAGGTCATACAACCGTTGTCTACTTTTATAAATTCCCGCTGTCGCCCAATCACTAAACGATTTACACTGCGAATGAGAGACTTTCTTTGGGGTAAAGATGGTGTTGAACTCTTTATTAATACAATCACTTAGATTGTTGTATTGTGTATCAACGGTAGTACCTACCGGCAATAAAGGTAGGCGTTTCCCTATATTATGTCTAAATCTCACCATTCGCTTTTTATTCACTGGAACAAACACACTGCTCTTATTTACTTGTTTCACCACTTTACATTTTAGCGCCACTAACTGTCCACAATGATCTGAGCTAAGATCAGTTGTAATTGAGGTTTGCATTGCCTCTGCATCTGTAAATACATTATCTATACATGTAGCAGTGGAGCTTGTAATTCTAGTGGGCTCAAGAAACAAGTTAACAAGATTGTAAGATTTTAATAACAGATTGAATTTTTTACTAATGGAGGTATTTTCTAATAAATTTATATTGAAGTCACCACATACAATAATATACTTATTGTTCTTAAAACTAACTTTACACAAAATTTCCTCCAACTTTTCTTCAAAAAAAATCGTAAGATGCACTTGGTGGTCTGTAAACACTTAAAATAATGCAATTCTCAATCTCTATACAGGCTACTTCCAAAGAGTGTTCTACAGACAGACACACGATGTCATTACGCTCTTTATACTTTAAATTTTTATTAACAATAATCAAAGAGCCCCCATGAATCGCCGACAATCTGCAAAACGAACTTGCAACTTGGTGCTGATCAAAGTTAAAGATGATTTGGCATTCTCTAAGCCAATGTTCGGTAATGCATAGGACATCAATTTTACTTGATTTTAAAAACAACTCCAATTCTAATTCTTTGCCCAACATACCTTGCATGTTTTGATGCATCAAGTTTAAACAGTTGTTGTTAGTAATATAACATGTTTGTGTTGAGCTGAGTTGTACTAAATTATTGCTAGAGTTTGCCTCTATTGTCACACTATCTAATTTAAATTATTTATACTTAATGAAGTGCTACTGCAAGTATCACTACATTCACTTAAGCTAAGCTGCTCAATAGAAGCAGTTGTCTGAAAAGCTAGCTGCTCAATAGAAGCAGTTGTCTGAAAAGCTAAATGTTTAGCTTTAGTTGTAAATAAAAAGTAAGATAGCATAGTAGCTATCTGTTGTAAATAATAATTAGGTAGGCGGAACCTATCCTTTGTCAATACATACTTATTTTTAAATATACAATTTATGTCCATTAAATTAGGTAGTGTACCTAAGCCACAATTTAATTGTATATTGTTAGTAGTTAACGTATTGTGCAACAACATGTTTAACTTATATCTAATTTTATTTTCCTTTGGTGCACCTTTGGTGTAAGGAAATGTGTACATAGGATTATTGTGTTAACGCATTTATTAATAACCATTAATGAGTATGTACGAATTAATTTCCTTATGAGTTAGTTTTTAGAACAAATAGCGCTCAGAAACCATAATAATGTATTAATTTTATTTTATTAATATAAATTGTGGTAAGTACGATAATGTAATATTATTTTAATATAAAAGTTATTCAGTTTTGGTGGCAATGTTTCGTTAATAAAACTGAAAAATAAACAAAAATAATTGCCAAGTTCTGACTTTATTGTATGTTAAGAAGGATAATAAATTCATAAATCAGATTCTCACTTAAAAACATAGTATTAACGTAATATGTAACTGTGCTACTGTAAGAACCAGACAATATCACCTTGGGTGTCGCCAATGCCTACATTCATCAAAAATCGGCAATAATACAAAAAGTATAAATTGAATGTTATATGACATCACGGACACAGCGTGAATAAATAAATAATAATTTATTCATATAGACAGTCTACACTTTTGATCTATGTCCACTTCAAGTACATTGCCCGTAATAGATAGCAGGCGATGGTCAGATCCACAATTATGAATCAAAATTAGCTTTTGAAAGTATCCATAATATTTAAAATCATAATATTAATATTAATATTTATTATTGTTATAACTAATTAAAGAAAGGCACGGACCTATAGTCAAAGTCAAATCATTTATTTAAATTAGACCTATTAAAAAGGTACTTTCGAAGGTCAAAATTACAAGTTAAAAAAAATGACAAGTTGCCCCTTCCAAAAGGTAGTGGAGAAGAATTGGCAACAAACTCCATAATTACTCTTTTAAAATAGTTTTTACCATATTTTGTATACATTGATTTCTGGTGGTCTTATGGTTTAAGTACTTATATGAAGAACCCTCAGTTATAGAAGACATTATTCAGAAATGAAATTGCGATATTAATATCTATCACACTACACTAATTCAAGGTTTTCTTATCAAAGAACTCAATTAATCAAATGCGTAATTTATATAAGATAAGATACGTAAATAGTTCGTTTTATATGCGATTGATTAACATAAACTATCTATTTATGAAAAAACCGCGAATTATTTTCTTTGTGTAGTTTTCTCGTACAAAAGTAAAGTAAAGGAAATAACATTAAATTTGATATTCAAAACTTCAGAAATAAATATAGATCGATTAATCCCAATTAAAAGTCGCGGGCAACAGCTTGATAAATAATATTTTTTTTCTAAACATATATTATTCTAATAAATTTAAAACAAACATAATATGTGCCACCCTATAATGTATAAAATACCATATAATATCTATGCCTATAATGTTAGTACATAATATATTACACATAATTATTATAATTAGCCATAACGCCTGGCAATTTAAATTAGTAGAACTTCCTAACATGCAATAGAATAAATATACTTACTATGATGTAAGGTTCGAAACAACGAATTATATAAATAATATATATTTGTTAAAGATTAGTTTTTGTTCTATGATATTAAAAGATTAATAAAAGGTACCAGGATAATTTAATAATACCTAAAAGCTACGTAATTTTCAATAAATGCGCCTGACATAGCTTTCTGCGACAGAGCCCATATACGTATTCCACGTCTTTTAAATTTTCCACTATAATTATGTTTTTGTAAAAAATAGCAATATTCTACTTACGTAAGAGATCGGTTTGAGGTAACCATTTTGATATTTTAATATTTTTCGATATTCCAGGAAGCTCATCTTTTTCCCATTTCCACAAAACGTTGTATGGCAATTTGGAGAATACGTCGATTAACATATTTATTGTATCCGAATGCAACATCGACGACTGTGCATTTGAACCCAAACTAAAGTATATTACACCATTTTTGGAAGAATCCATGTACTCTTGGAGGGCCTGCAAATCAAGATAATAATCAACAATATCACAGGTAAAAAATAAAAGTAGAAAAATAATAGAAATGCTGCGAAAAACATTAATCATCATAAGTATTTATAATAATTTCTTTTAGTGTAGGAAAGATTAATTCCTACCGTGTTTTGTTCTTAAATCACCTAAATAAACCTTAGTAATCTTATACAAACCATTTAAGTACTTATCACATACATTTCTATTTACTTCGATATACAAACATGTGCACTTCATTTAACCAATAGATAAATTTAAACGTTCAAAGTTAAATATTTTAACAAAATCGACAGCACAAAACCACAGATTCAAAACGAAAAGTTTGACATTTCACTGCTATTTGTCTTGAAATATTATTTAGTCGAAAAGTTCAATTCAAATCAAGCAGTTTTTTAATTTTACTTTCGTTTGGTATATTTTAATAAACTTATTGCAGAACTATGGTGAATAATCTTTTAATAATTAAAATACTATTTCTTACATGACTTTATTTTGCCTGTTAATGTACATACAACAATGTACACTTTGGAACTAACCATTTATTTCATTTAGTCACAGACTTTCATGTTAAGTAAGTCCAATTTATTTTACCACTTGATAAGTGAAAAATTTTAGAAATGAAAGTTGTATAAGATCTAACAGAAAAAGAACGTACTTTATTCTTTTAGAGGCAATTGCATATAAAGTTGTTAGAATTTGGCTGCGTCAAACTTTGTCAAAATTTTGTTGGATCAGTATTAGCATGTATAAAACAATATAAGTAAGTACCTGTGGTAGAGGCTTGTCTTGATTCTTATGAATTCCCTAAATTGATATAACATTGGGTGGAAGTGGTTGATTGTTCGTCCATATAGGATGAATATTTAAAAAAAGCATATCTATATTGTTATTCAGTTCTTTATACGAAGGTCGGTTACTACCAAAGTATTTACTAAGTGCTTCATGCTCACTAGTTCTCTCATATGCCAATGAAATATAATCCAATAATGCACGTACAATTCGTATAACTTTTCCCAAAACGTCAGATTGAATATCCTCTGGCGCATAATTATTGGGAATAAAACTGGATGTGTAAGCGCACCAATAACTTCGTCATTTCCTAACATGAAGCCAAATGAACTTATCTGGATAACAGGTACTTTAAATTTATGAGAATACATTAATGCTGGGCGTACACATGCCTCGATAATTAGCAAATCAAATTTGCTATCACCGTTAAGCAAAGCGTGTATTTCTTCCATATTGACTTGTTTTTCGAAAATTTCTTTAATAAATTCTTCAAAATCCCTAACTATTTTAAAAACACTGAATTTTTTACCAAAACCTGTGTCACGTTCTTCAAGTCCATCTCTCCAAACATTGTATGAAATATCATGGACATCAATTTCAGTTAAGTTTTTTGGTCTATTTTCCTTAGTAAATACTGGGTCTGCTGTGATGACTATAACTTCGTTACCCCTTCGGACTAATTCTTGAGTAAGAGGTCGAAACACTACTTGATGACTTATTGATGCCGAGGGAAAAATCGCCTATATTCTTGCTGCATTTATTTGAGAAAATAAAAATATAATATTTAATAAAACTGTTGACGTAATCATCGTATACAAAGCTACCAGTTATAAGATTGCACAATATACTGATTGATATAATAAATATGCACTTCAAATAGGATTGTATTCAGATATATGTCCGTATATATTATCATACAGACTACTTTAAATAAGGTTTATGTTGCAGGCAAATCTCGTCATTGTTACGTAGACTTAACTATAAAAATCGGTCCTTATCAAACAGGAACACGTCAAAGATACGACTGTTGTTATTTTGAAATAAGAATATCGATAACAATACCTTGGTATCTACATCGAGTTATCATTATCAAATATATAAAGAAATCTGAAGCATTCACCAAAACGGTTGTACTACCATTGGATATACATAATATACGTATCCTTTTATTTGACAGTCCAAAGTATATTTTGACAAAAAAAAGTTTTATTTAAATTTATATTATTTCATTTGTATATAATTGGAAAAGCCTTTCAAGTATTTTTATAAACAGATTTACTTTCAGACATTGATAGAAACAATTTATCTTAATATATATATTTCTTGTGTGCGTGTGTATGTGACTGAACTTCTCTCAAACGACTGGACCGATTTTGATGAAATTTTTTGTGTGTGTTCAAGGGGATCTGGGAATGGTTTAGATTCACAAATCAGCCCGGCAGATGGCACTGCAGTCGGTACTTTCATACTTTGCTTAATATCCTAATCGCTTTAAATATCATGCAGGACAACGTCTGTGGGGTCCACTAGTTTTTAATGTATATATTTATTCTATACACCCAGTTATTTCAGACAGTAATATTGCACAATATAACACTTATAATAGTGTACATAACAAACATAATTATGCCAGTCACCCAAACAGTACTTCAAATCATTAATACATATAACAAAATAAATAAAAGTATAGAAACTATGATGTTTTCGATTTGTTTAACCGTAAGTTACTTGGTACAATGATTCTATATAGTCTATATATTAAATACAAAATAATCGCAGCAATTAAAAACACCAATGAAACTAATTTAATTAAAAATTCTATCTCATAGTATTCAAAATAGGAAATATTAGCTCCAGCTGCTCGAAGGTGTTTCGCTCCACCATGTCTCAACACGTACTCTGTCCACCAAACCGCGCGTTCTAATGCACTCTCGGATTGATCATTCATAAGCCTATTAAGTCTTATAATGTTTTCTTTGTAGCTGAAAAATATCGTCCATAAACGAAAAACTATGTTATCTATATAACTAAGTCTAGTTTTTTTATTTATTTAATATTTTTCCTGTTTTGTCCTAATTCGATTATATGACTAATTGAATTATAAGTAAAAAAACATTTTATCTGTTCATATAGATAACAGAACATTTGCATATGTGAAAATATTATTAACGAGTAGTAATCGGTTGTTTGTGGCGACTGCTCTCGCAGCTCTATTGTTCGAGCCAATACACAACTTGTCGGTTTATTACGCTCAGTAGGAATTCCCTATCCATGCTATGTCTATCATTTATTGAGGCAAATCCAAACTTTGTATGTCCCATATGTTTTCTCTTATAACGCAACAGACTCTTTCATTGTTTTATACATATTATACTTACTGTTATAATTTAATTACCTCTTATCATTAATAACTGTTCCAATAGCTGTCGTTAATTGTTCTTCTGTGATTGTATTTAACTCAACTCCGAGTCCAATTTTATGATACTCAAATGACTCAACATTATACCACTGGTCTCCAAACATTGGAATCCCTATGAGTGGTATTCCAGCATTCACAGCTTCATCCATCGACTGAAGACCTCCTTGTGTTATAAATAACTTAATATTTGGATGGCCTGGAAATGTCATAAATAAAATTTTAATAAATATATATTATATTAAACACGTATTACACAAATATTTATACGCAAGAAGGTATCAATACCAATCAGGCATAATTTTATAATTATAATATTCACAAGCAAAAATTTTTACCCACTATTTAAGTAACAAATGAAACTAGATATTTCTATAGAAATAAAAGCCATATCATTAAGGAAACTTACGTAGTAGATCTGATTGTAGTAACCATTTCGCTATTTTAATGTTCTTCGATTTCCCGGGAAGAACATCCGTCTCCCATTTCCATAGTATATTATAGGGCAGTTTAGAAAATACGTTAATCAAAATCTTTATTTTCTCCGGTGGCAGCAACGATGAGCGAATATTTGATCCAAAACTAATATATATCACGCCATTCTTCGAAGAATCTAAGTATTCTTTGAGATCCTAAAAATAAACTAAGCATAAAAACATAATTTCAAATACGGTAAGCAAAACAAATATTAGATATTCTTAATTATTAAATAATAAGGCAACTTGTGTAATATTCAAGTTGCCCTATATCTTTGGTCTTTTTAATACCATAAAATTTATGTTTTTTTTAAACTAAGTGAATAAATAAATTTTGATTTTACTTGAGGTAGAGATTTCTGAGGCTTCTTATAAATTCCCCAAATTGAAATAACATTTGGCGGAAGTGGTTGATTATGACTCCATATTGGGTGAATATTTAAGAACATCATATCCACATTTTTATTTAATTCTTTATATGAGGGTACATCATCGCCACCAAAGTATTTTTTGAATATATTTAAATCCTTATATTCACTCGATTTCCACATGTTAACGATCCAATAATGCTTGTAGAATTCATTTAATTTCTCCCAAAACGTCAAATTGTGTAATCTTTGATGCAACATGTTTGGATACAGAATAGGATGAGAAGGTGCCCCAACCAGATCTTCACCTCCAAAAGCCATTCCGAAAGAACTTATTGCGATAACCGGGGCTTTGTATAAATGCGAGAACAGAATAGCTGGTCTGGCACAAGCTTCCATAATTATTAAATCGTATATTTTACTTTTATCATTAATGAGTTTTTGTACTCCATCAGTCTTTAATTGTTCTTCTATGACTTTAGCAAAAAAACTTGACATTCCTTCTGCTGTTTTAAATACGCCAGCTTTATCACCAAATTCCATACGTTTGTCTTTCATTTTTTGTATCCACAGATTGTATGAAACATCGTGGACATCTTTTTCAGTAAAATTTGCTGGGCGATTGTGGTCATTAAATGCAGGGTCGGTTGTGATGACGGTGACTTCGTGGCCAATTCTTGCCAATTCTTGAGTCAAAGGTCGAAACACTACTTGATGACTTAAAGATGACGTGGGGAACACTCCAAGAATTCTTGCCCCATTTGAATTTTGGGCAGTTATCACAAAAGTGAATAGTAGTATTATTGTATACATTGCGAATCTAAGTAAGACTTACAAAGATAATCGTAAAAATTACTACGAATATTTAAAACAAGTATTATCTATTTTTATCATAAATATAACAAAATTATATAAAACGTCTGTATATATTACAAAAATACTTTGACAGTGAAATATGCATAAGTTTTACCGTAAACATAATATTGAGAATAGTATGTTTTTGGATTAAGGTAAAAGTATATTACATATTTTCGTGGAACCGAAACCGTACAAATAGTTTAAAATACAAGAATAAACATAATACTTAGTTTTTGCCGCGCACCACCACTATGTGGAACCAGCTGCCCACTGAAGTATTTCCGAACCAATTCGACTTAGGGTCCTTCAAGAAAAGAGCGTACCAATTCTTAAAAGGCAACGCACTCGCGAGCCCTCTGGCATTGAGAGTGTCCATGGGCGGCGGTATCAAGGGCGGTTCTATAAAAAAAAATTAAAAAAAACTTACCAACCACATATAACAAATTTATTAAAATTATAAGAATTCATTAAATCTAATAAAAACAATCAAGAACATACAATAAACATTTTACAGAAGATAACAAAGTTAAAAACTAAAACGTGGTTATTATATTATAATCAGTTATAACAGTTAAGTATATGATTTTCTCGTATTTCGTATTAATAGGAATCAAAATTCGGATCAATACGACAAAATTTTCGTTATGAATTTAGGCTGATGCGTTTACATGTGTTACTTGGGTTTAATATGTATTTATTTACTGACAAGGTAAGTCATAAGTGTACATTATGTTACCTATGTGATTAAATGTTTTTTTTTTATTTAAATCTGTAAAAAATTCGTTTCTGCCTCTGGGGTCAATACCATTTAGATAATGAAGAAAATCACAGGAGGTAGATGTAAAAAAAACCTCTATTCAATAATCTGCTCCTAGTTGTTATTGTGTCTATTCGATTTCTTAGACACCCCTGAATACAAAAAAAAATTGGCAGACATTTTACTTACTTACATTTTTCAACCATAGCAGTGCGTTGAAGTCCGCAAATCTGATTTAAAGTATTTTTCCAAGCGTGCAAGCGTTAAAAAAAATTATATGAAATATATTTTTTTTATTTTAATTATTTTTTAATTATTAAAGTCATACACGAGAAAACGTAAACCTGTTTTTTACATTTTTAAGGGGTTGTCGACGCAGTCAGATTTGTCAACGCAGCGCCACCATGGTCATGGCAGAAGTGGTCCTTAATATTCCTTATCGTACAAAATATATCTAATACAATCTATTAGATATTTGTACGATATTAAATATATATATTATATATAATAAAAAAGTCTGCCACATGAGCAAATCATACAGATATTTTACTATTCAGCTCTCTAGCTAAGAGTATAGGATAGGGAACTTGCGTATCGTAGGAAGTACTTATAAAGGAGATTTTTGAAAGTTGATGACAAATATACAAGTACAATTTTTTGCTTTTATTTTCCCAATATATTCTGAGTTTTCTATGGCTATTGCGTCTGTATTTTTGTTTAAATGTTATTGTGCTAAGCAACGCTACGATTTTAATATGTAGAGATTACTGTGTCATTATAGTATCTTTCATCAAAATTGACTTCTTCTATGAATCATAATTTTATCGCTTTTTTTAGGAAACTCTTTTTAAGCAAATTTAGATAGTTACTATTTACGATAGTGTCGCTTATCACGCCGTTATCACATGTCAGTGGCGTGACTGGCTGACCCGCATAACTCGCAACATCACGTGCTAGAACTAGTCCAGAGACCTAACCCTATGGTCTCTCTTTCTATAAGAGATAAAGATAAAGTTACATTACCACACACACTCATTGGAGGAGTGTGAATGGTATCATCATGTGTATTTTATCGCAAACCATGGGGAAAAGATATGGGTTCATGGGGAAGACGAACTGGTTACGTGGACGGTCGCACGGGTGGATTTCCGATATTTTAGGGTTCGGTTGCGGTTTGGAGTCTGTGCACGATGATACCTCTGTCTTTATGGGTGAAATAGAGAGCGGTATTATCGGCATAGTGGGTTAGTTCCACGATTGGAGCTCTCGGGATATCGCCGGTGAACAGCAGCGGTGAAGAGGAGGCCCTAATTAATTAATAAAAGGGTCAAAGGGACGATAATAATTTTATTATATATATAAAATATATTATATTATATATATAAAAAACACAATCTTGTCCTAACAACAGGTGACCTTAAATTGACAAGAATACACTACACATTTTTTAATTTTTTTAAAACAAAAAACAACAAACAATAAATATTTTTCTTGTTTATCAAGAAAAACAAAATTACATAAGAAACAAAAATAATAGAACTTTTGTCAGTTCGCCCTTTTCTAGAGTGAAATCTAGAAGGTGCTTTTTGAGTACCTTCTTGTACAGCTTGCGCAGCTAATTAAGAAGGCTAATAACTGGTATCTGGTGGGATTGTTACGGGGCTTGTCCGGCTAGTGGATACGAATTAAAATGGCCTCTTTCCACTGTGAAAATAGGCATATCAGGTGGGGTGGGAGGCATCGGAGGACCTTGTTCGAGATGGTGTTGATTCTTTAGGGAATGACTGGGCCGGTAAATAAAACTCTTTAGATTTCTTGTAAAAAATTTATTATTCCTTATATGACCTTTCGCTGGTCAAGTGCAATTAGAAATGATGGCGTCCTTTAATAATTTAAAGTTGCGCCTGGTACAAAACTTGCGCAATGACGCAACAACACTTTTAACTTTCTTCACTTATTATCTTTGTACCGGGAACTTGCACAGCTGGACCAATGAAAGTATTATGTAGCCGCTGCTGATTTTAACCTCTGCCACTCTACACTAGGTGCCCGATATTAAGATTGGCAGAGTTCTCTCTTCATTTAGTGCGCTGTTGTAATTCCGCAAGTTGATATTTCCTCAAAGGTAAGTGGACAGTTTTCCATAACACGCCGTATATGGTGCTTAGGTGCTTAGCAGATGTTACTTTAAATGCGGATTATATGGCAGAATAAAAAAAAATATAGCGACGATGATGATGCGATGATTTTGTTTATTTCCACGCATGTCATCATTTCGCATCACATTCCATTTAATTTCATTAATTTATATTTCTGAATTCTCATAAATATTTTTTATGTTTTTGACAACTTTCTTTCATTTTCAAATATATTAAAGATAAATATATATATACATATAATATGTATGTCAGAAATAATGTAATAAGAGGATACGATATCACTTGCTTTATTAGAGTGGCAACACCACGCAATATCATAGACATCTTACAGGTTGTAATTGTCAATGTGTCAAAGTCATTTTGTCAGTAGTGCGTTGAATCGATCGATTGAATGATTTATTTGAGAAAGTAAATAATATTAAATATAATAAAACTGTTGATGTAATCATCGTATACAAAGCTATAATATAAATACCAGTTAGAAGATTGCGCATATTGACTGATATAATGAATAACCACTTTAAATAGGATTGTACTTAAGATATAAATTATATATGCCCGTATATATTATCACACAGACTACTTTAAGGAAGGTTTATGTTGCTGGCAAATCGCGTCATTGTTACGTAGACTTAATTATACAAATCGGTGGGTAACAAACAGGAAAACGTTGTTATTATGAAATAAGAATGTATATTGCGACAATAAAAGTTTTATTTTTATTAAACAAATATGGGAGCGTTCAAGTATAACGTAACGAATTGGGGGGGCTTCCTTTGTAAAACGTTACGATACGGGGCGGGGATTGAATTACGCGTTATTGTTAATATTATTTTCGACTTTCCAGTACTTTACACCACATAATGGTAACTTTTAGGTATAAAGAGTCACTAGGTGGTCACGAAACGTTTTACTATACTTGGGTACAGAAAAATGTTACGGCGCGTTACATGTGGGAGGGGGTGTCAATTGCCTTGAAAGGCAATAATTTTATAATCAGATTAATTAATAATCAGATTTACTTTCAGACATTGCAAGAAACAATTTATTTTTAATATATATATATTAATTATTCTATCTATACATAATATTATGCAATATAAATATTTACACTTAGAATAGAGTACATAACAAACATAATAATGCCAGTCACCAGCCAGACAACTCTAGAAACTATGATGTTTTCGATTTGTTTGCACGTGTGTTACTTGGTACAATGATTCTATATACTGTATATATTGAATACAAAATAATCGCAGCAATTAAAAACACCAATGATACTAGTTTAAGTAAAAATTCTATCTCATAATATTCGAAATAGGAAATATTAGCTCCAGCTGCTCGAAGGTGTTTCGCTCCACCATGTCTCAACACGTACTCTGTCCACCAAACCGCGCGTTCTAATGCACTCTCGGATTGATCATTCATAAGCCTATTAAGTCTTATAATGTTTTCTTTGTAGCTGAAAAATATCGTCCATTAACGAAAAGCTATGTAATCTATACGTATATAGATTTAATCTATATAAGTTATATAAGTCTAGTAGTTTTATTTATTTAATCATTTTCCTGGTTTGTCCTAATTCGATTATATGACTAATTGAATTATAAGTCAAAAACATTTTATCTGTTAATATAGATAACAAAAAATTGCATACCTATATGAAAATATTATTAACGAGTATTAATCGGATATTTGTGGCACCTCTATTGTTCAATACACAATTTGTCGGTTTATTAGTCTCAGAAGGTATTACCTATCCACATGATATGTCTATTATGTACTGAGACAAATCCAAAGTTTGTCTGAACCATATGTTTTGTCCTAATAACGCAACAGACTCTTTCATTGTTTTATACATATTATACTTACTGTTATAATTTAATTACCTCTTATCATTTATAACTGTTCCAATAGCTGTCGTTAATTGTTCTTCTGTGATTGTATTTAACTCAACTCCGAGTCCAATTTTATGATACTCAAATGACTCAACATTATACCACTGGTCTCCAAACATTGGAATCCCTATAAGTGGTATT